GGGTTAAGCACTACACTATGAAGCTGTTAGGGGGAAAAGGCGGTCCCAAAGCAAATTCCATACAGGCTTTGTGGACTCCACCCCCACCCCAGGTCAAAGCCAAAGACACTGGGAACTCCAAATCCCATTACCACCCAAGGGAAGGTGGCTGGGACCTGAGGGTGGGGTTAAGCAGCCAGGTGGATACAAAAGGCAGACACGTGGGCTTTGGGGGGCTCTCCATTTTTGGGCTCCCCGCCAGCTCGCAGCGTCCGGCCAACTCGGAGAGTGACTTTGGGTTTCCAGGTCGTCGGATCGGGTAGGACGCATTAAAGACTTTATTTCCCTATTTTCTCCCTGAGTTGTACATTTTCCTTATTTCCTTTCCTCTTGTAAATAAACCTTTTATTAACCCTTTTGTGTGTGTCTGTAGTAGAGTATTCATAAGTCCCTTTAAAGTGCGCGGGTGAGGACCCACAGCCAGGAACCCGTTTAATATCGGGGCTGCTCTATAACAGCTTAGCCCCAGATTCTGCAGCATGAGTTCAATCCCTGGCTAGGGAGCGACCCACATGGTGCAGCAGACCTCTCCTGTCTCGCCTGCTGCTCCCCTCAGCAGTGTATTTCAGTCAATCTGCCTGTTCTGTTCCTCACTCTGTCTCTGGTGAATCCTCTCACCCCCCGCATCTCTGGCCTGTATTGAGGGCAGTGGAGGCCCAGCTCTTGTATGCATAAATAAATAAATCTTAAAAAAAAAAAAAGTAAAAACCGTGCCGACCTGCTCCTGGCTCAGCTTTATCTGTGCCTCTGAAGAGAGAAGACAACAATATTCCTCTTTCACAGGGCTGTGGCAAAGTAATATATGAGATACGATAATGTAAAACGCCTGGCAAGATGCCCGGCACAGAACTGCTGTTCAATACTTGTCAATTATTCTAAAAGCACATTGATGCATCATAAAGACATTCATTCCTGTGGCAAGCAAACCTGTCATGCGCTGGGTGGTTCTAGTTGCTGGAGGCACACTCAGAATGCCTGGCTTGCTGGGTCTACTCTCTGGTGGAAGGTACACAAAAATAAAGTAATTCTCTAAAAGGATAATTGACATCATGTGCAGTATTGGTGAAATAAAGCAACACAAGTCCAGATGGAATTTCAGAAAATGCTATTTTAGATATAGTGGCCAGGAAAGTCTCTCAAAGGAAGGAATAATTCAGTGCAGAACTGAATGAAATGAGGGAGAGTGCCACGGAGATACCTGGTGGAAGAATGTTCCAGATGGAGGAACAGCAAGTGCAAAGGCCCTGGGGCAGGAAGGTGGAGAACTGGTTGCATAGAAAGAGTGGTAGTTGAGGAGGTACTAGGGGCCTAATCATGACTTGGAGTGTTTCAAGAAACCTTGGTGGTTTCGTGAGTGTTTCTCTTTCCTCTTTGATGAATTTGAAGACCTCTTAGGTCAATGGAGGAGAGCAGTTATGACTGGGGTTGCTAATATCAGGCTAATCTGAGTATTAGATCACAACTTTGCAGAAGTCTTAAAATCTCTAAGCCTTAAATTCTTCTACACAATGGATATCATAAAAATGCCTATCTCAATGGATTTTGATAAAGAGTAAATGAGATTATCTGAGTAAATTGCCTGGCATTGAGTAAGTGCTCCATATATTAGCTGCTATTATTGAGGGCAGTGAAGCCATACTATACACTTTTTCTTTATTATTCAACAAACATGTAATAAACTCTTAGCAGGTGCAGGTCTTGTGATGTATAATTCCAGTCTCCCCAGCACTGTGTTGACCATATAACTTGACTCGATGAATTCTTGTAGACTTACAAAACAGCAATAACTCTCTAACCTAGCCATCAGCTGACTGACAGCGCTATTCAGAACCAAGAACCAGAAGGAAAACAAAATATGTCTTTGAATTCCCAAAGCACCTGTCAGAAAGATTATGCACTAAAGCTATAAACTTGAATCATGGAGAGTTCTCCATTCCTTACTTGTTTTAAACCCAATCACACGCTCAGTCAGTCAGGTTTCTCAGGTTACAGAGGGTGGGAAGGGATAGTGGTCAAAAGCCAACTTACTGAATGGAAAGAGAGCAACGGTCCGAAAGAAGAGAAAATGAGAACTATAAAAAGTAGAGGGGAAAAGTCACAAAAGAAATGTAGGAATCTATTTTCTCATTCCTTGGCTTATTTATTCAAAAATTCATTCATTCAACAAACATTTATGGGTGACTATGGTAAGCTAGGCACTGTTGTTGGGAACTGAGTACAGAAAAGTGACAAGAACATCATTCCTGCCCTCACGGAGTTGACGTAGACATAAGTGGGGGAGGGGATGGAGGAGAAAGACAAGGAAACATCATTTTCAATACCCTGTGTGAAGTGATCCAAGGGGTGTGAGCACAGGACACTAAAGGGTGCTGGAGAAACAACAACCAGTCTTCAGTGAGCAGAGAAATGGGCAGGGAAATGGAGGTGGGGCAGGAGGGACATTTAGTATCAGGGCCATGACTCAGTAATGAATGCTCAAAGTCATGTCCACAAGATAAGGATATCTATGTTATAGTTGATTAAGCAGGGAACTGCACAACGATTTCCATTTTTAATTATTGAGTATGACAATTTTCAATTTTCAAATTGAAGTTGTCTGGCATTTCTACTTTGTTGGAATCTTGCTTTTGTAGTACTCACATTTATTTCTTAGTGATGTTAAATCTATGAGTAATTACTGTTAGGTCATAGTTTTCAGACAATATGGGAGGTATGTGATATAATCGTTGGTCTTGTGAAATAGTTGGTTTTGTATTAAATTAGCTTTTTTGATTTGTTTTAAACTATGTGGTCTTAGGAAGAAGATTAAGATAGAAATAGCCACTTGGTACTGTTAATGCTACAATTTTGAATCTAAAACGTCAGTAAGTCAATTAACAACTATGTTTCATAGCTAAGTAATGGCTAGTTGTCTACCTATCTCATTTACTCAAAAAGCCACGCCATTGATATTCAATGCAGTGCTGTTTGTTAGAGCAAGAGAAAAGAAATAACCTGAAGATACAACAGAAATAAAATAAAAGATGGCAAATTTGTAAGTGAGATATTATGTTCTCATTAAAAAGAACAAGACTGTGTTCTTATGAAACATTCTCCCAGTTCCTGCCTTTCCCATCTCTCCCATAACTCTATGCTCTACACCTTCAGGTGATTCTTTTTAGTCATTTCTCCCATGGTAGGTACCATCCTCAGCTTCTCTCCTTTTTTGTATATACCAACCCCCCAAAAGGAGTTGATTTTTTTCAAGGTCTTTCTTCCTCCTACCCAACCTCCCTCCCCTCTCTCTGTCCCTCCATCTGTCCTTTCATGCTACCACCCTCCATTCCTTCCTATCTTTTGACCATTATGTATTGATTAAGCATCTTCTATGAACCAGATGCCATCCAGATGTGGAGCAGACTGTGACTAATAACACAAATCCCTTCACCTTGTGCCACTAATATTCTGGTCAAGCAAGTTTCTTTCCTGGCCCAAACTCTATGCCTCTTAATTAAAGTACTTTGGAAAAGAAAATCTGTCTTTGAATAGCATTCTTGAAGAAGCTAGATGACATAAATCTATCAATACATTCATTATTTGAGACTGATCTTTGAAATAAGCAACACAAATGTTTTGACTTTCTAATAATACCTTAAACATATTCAGTGTGCCTTTCCTGTACACAGCTCCGAGCAACTTAAGGTTGATGCGATACATGGGTGACAAAATCATCTCCATGTGATAACGCCATGAAAAAATTTTTTTAAAAATCAAGTGACAACTCTCTGAGGATTGTCAACTTGAAGACACACAATTTCAAGCAGTCCCCCACAGGACTCATCATACCTAAATTTTTGTCCAAAACTTGGTTAAGTGGATTTTATAACTTATTCAAAATAAGTCCGAGTGGCTGAAATGAAAGTCATTTAAAGCAAAAAAGATTTTAAAGACAACCTTGACAGCTTTTCCTGCTGACAACACTGGTTTAAAGACAGTGAACTTCCCCAGGGACACCCTCACCAGGGAAGAGGGTGGTATGGTTTGGACACTGCAGCCCTCCAGCTGTCTCATATGATGCTGTATGTTCACAGATGCTGGAATTTTGAACTCAGCAAAAAACAAAGAAAAAATTCTGGTGGGTGAAGTCACACCTACCCTTTATAACTTTGGTTTTATGGCAAAACAACCCAAAGGCTGGAAGCTGACTTGAGGTGTGCTAGTTGTGGGGGTGCAGTGTCGTGGCACCAGCTCCACTCTTCACAGCCTTGTATGTGGGGCTGGGACTGGATCCTTCACATTTCTCCTCTGCCAACATGGGTTGTGGTATATGGTTTTGACAATGAAGAGGTCATTAGGGCTTATAATGAGACTACCTTCAATTATCTGACTTTGACAGAGCAATTTGAGAAACTGATTGGGGCTATCAAAGGAGAGATTATGAATACGGATTACTTTTTAAAGATAGTTGTTGGTACATGAAGTAGTAATAAGGAGGTTTGAGCATGATTATAGGCCATGAGCAAGGAGGAGCTGAAGGATAGCTTAGCTGGCACAAGGTGCCTGAGCCAATGAAGAGGTTTGGAGGGAGAGTTCTCCAGAGCCATCTGTTTTATAGGAGTCTGCTCTTCAAAGCGTGATCCACAGACCAGTAACATTAATGTCACCTAGGAACTTGTAGTAAATGCAGAATCTTAGGTTACACTGCACATTGAGGGAGCCAGAATCTTTATTTTTAAAAAACATTCTGCCAGGATCATAGTTTATTTTTAAATTTTTTTAATTTTATCTATTTTTTACATCATTTTTCATTTTCGCACAATGTATGCATTTTCATCTTGGTTATATTCTCCATAACAATTCCGCCCCTCCCCTCTGGTTTATAGTTGCTTGTTGATTTTGATTTTTACTTTATTATAATTACTGTTTTTTCTGGTCTCTTATTTAGGTTTTCTAAATTCCTACTATGAGTGAGACCATCCGGTATTTTTCTTTTTCTTTCTGGCCTATTTTGCTGAGCATGATCCCTTCCAGCTCCATCCATGTTGCTGCAAATTGCATGAGTTTATCTTTTTTGATTGCTGAGTAATATTCCATGGTGTATTATGTACCACACCTTCTTGATCCAGTCATCAATTTTGGGGATCATAGTTTTTAACGCTGACAATTATCAGGCCCGACAGACATTACTGTTCTGAGGTTCATCGATGATGACACTGAGCCCAAAGAAGCTGCCTGAACGCAGAACTGATTAATGACTGAGCCAAGATTTCCATTCCAGAACTTGGTATACAATGTTCTTTTCAGACATAGAGCCGTTCAGAGGAATTTCAATTTTCACTCAATTCAGGAGACTTGCTTCAGATGACAGAGCACCTCTAATGAACAGTCACGAGGGTTAATTATTTCTCCTGTAACTTTATTCTCTCCGCGGTGGAGGAATTCCTCTCCCAGACCTTGGCGACTTCCCCAAAACCAGCATGGACGGCGTCGGAACTTCATTTCCCAGAAAGCCCCGCGGCGTACTATCGCGCGAGGCATGACGGGCACCCGCCCCTCTTTCTCGTGGAGCGCCCGCCAGAGTCGCTTACATCAGAGCCTGACGTAAGGCGCGCGGCATCCTGGGATATGTAGTATTGCCCGGACCCTGACGCCCCCTTGGATGAATGGGGCCCGGTCTGGCTGCGAACTACAGCTCCTTGACCCGCAACGTGGTGGCGGCTACGGGGGAAGCGAGCCCGCCGCGGACGGGACGGAGCGGTCCTCGGGCGCGGCGGCGATGTTCTGTGCGGCGGCCGAAGCAGCAGCCCGGCTTCCTGGGGTAGCGGTCTAGGCGGGCGCTTCCTCAGCGCGCCCGCTCCCCTTCCCCTGCCCCGGCCATGCGCCCGGCTCTCGGGGTGGGCCTGGTGTTCGCCGGCTGCTGCAGTAACGTCATCTTCCTGGAGCTCCTGGTCCGGTGAGTGACCCCGCGGGTCGCCCTGAGGAAGCCGGAAGAGGCGCGCGGGGGGCTTGGGGGCCTTGGGGGGACCCCACAGAGTCGCGGGCTGGGGGCTGGGTGGGGAACCCCACCGAGGCTCGCCGGGTCCGCGCTCCCGCCCAGCAGTTTCATAGCATCCCACAGAGGGCAGTCCTGGGGTGGGGGGTGCTCTTGTCCCCCCCTTTTCGCACACTGGGGGCTGGAAGCCTGGAGTTTCTCACGTGACCGGTCTGTGGTTGGCGGGGAGCTCGTGGCAGAACCCAGGCTTTCGCCGGTTCTTTTCTTGACCCTGTTTATGTCCCTTGTGTGCCTGGAGCACAGCCTTTTGCCCCGGGAAGCAGTCCTATGGTGTCCACCTCACACAGCAAGTTTTATTTGTGTTCAAGCGGCCCGCGAGCTTGTTTTTTGGCCTCAGAGATGGTTATGAATGAGTGCTTGACCCAGACACGGCGCTCAGTGATGGAGTGGAACGGATTCTTACTCATGCAGGTCGATCCAGCTGACCTGCAGCAGCATTTCCAGCTTTAAGATGTTAAAGTCATTCAGTGGGGAAGCCTGCATTTTGACGCTCTGCAGAAGGACACTTTCCCAAAAGGAAACTGGGTTCGCCTTATGGAGGTGGCACGCAGATAATGTTGAGTAGTGATGTGCAAAGTGCAGGGGGGAGCAGCTTACAGAAAAGACAGCGGGCGGACTGGAAGGGGCTTCAGGACTCAACATCTCAAAGTGAGGAATTTCAGTCTAGGCTGTCCCATCCACTGCCTGTGTGGCCTTTTCAAGTTACCTGTCCTCTGGGCGTTCTTTTCCCAGTTGTAAAATATCTCTGTGCTATCTGCTGCTGTGTCTGAATCTACACAGCGTCGCCATTGGCTGTCAGAACAATTGTATCTATGAGAGGTCAAAGATAATCTCTGTTTTACCGAAAGTGAAATAGGTCCCAAGAACTTAGATGTTTTTTTACTATCTGCAAGTTTTAGAGCCAACATTTTTCAAACTTTTAATCCAGTACCTTTTTCAATCTTCTAGTTATTTTTGAACTCAAGCAACCCAGTTTCGGTCACCCAGTTCTTCTCGCGATGCCTACTAGAAAAATATGTTTTATTTTCTTAAGTTATTCTGAAGCAACTGACTTACTTAAAGACTAACTTCCTATATTACAGAGCTTGGCATTTTATGATGCACAAGGTGTTGTTAAAACCTGTCATTTGTCATTCTTGGGAGTAGGTGGTGAGGGGTAAAAAAATGAAAAAAAAATTTGACTTAAGTGTGGTGGAATAATAGAAGGTCACTTGGAAATTGATTCAGAAGTCTTTTAAAAAGTGATAAAATCAGGTCAGCCATGGAAATGAAGGTCAGAGAATAATAGTGTAATATTTGTGTTGGATGTGCCATTAAATCATGCCAAAGGCTGTATAACCTCAGAATATGCTAACAGCTAAAGGACTTCTTTACTAGTTGTGAGGCCTCAGCTAAATCACTTGATCTCCCCCGGTCTGTTGTCTCAACTGTAGAAGGTAGGGGAAGACTAGCAGTCTGGTGGGGACATGAAGAGCTGCATGAGATACATATGCAAAACTGGAGGTACACTCAGCCAGCTTCCCTTCTTTCTAGCAACTTTGGGTTCAACACAGGTATTCCTGGTTGAAAAATCTGTGTTCCAGAAAATTTGTGGATAATCTAATTTCACAGAAGGTTTTGGTGCAGTATGGAAGCTTCTGTGTAGAACACTCTGCAAAATCATCTGTAAATAGATTATCACTCCTTGTTTATCTTTTTGTAAGTTGGATTTTGCGTTAGTGGTGGGTTTTCATAAAGTGGAGATATGCTGACAGAGTGGTCCACCAGACTGTATAGCAGCTTAGATCCAATTTGCTTGGGCAGTTCATGGCTGTTACAGATCAATAAAATAAGAGCTGGTAGGGCCACATGGTCTTTAAGGTTCTTTCTGGATTTGGCCTTATCAGTATTGGTGACGTTATCTTGAGACCTCATCGTGAGAAGCTCATAAATTTTTATAAAGCAGGAAGTGTCCTTTTGCTATGGCTTCATGGGTACCAGTTGGTGCCTAACAGGTGGCAGGTACAGCACTCACTATAAATGAAAATGCTAAAGTGACTTGCAGGAAGAAGAGAACATTGGAAACCATTTTTCCCAAATGGGAAAAGAAATTTCAGTTCTTCTTTCTCATTTGCATGCCTATCCTTGGACCTATAAGCAGAGATAAAACCCAGTGCAGTGCACGGAGCAGATGGAAGTAATGAATCAGTGACTCGACGGCCCTCCTGAGAGAGGATACTCACACAGGCGCCAACCAACTAGACAACACATGGCGTGTCTTCCATCAGACACACACCTGGGACATTTCCTTTTCCCATTTATTTTTCATTCAAGTGCCGAACGAACGGTGACTCAAGTAAGGAAGTTTCCTAAATTTAGAATAAGAAACACGAAAAACATAATCTGCCCAAGTCTTCTCTTTATTTTTTTTTTATTTTATATATTTTTACATCATTTTTTATTTTTGTACAATGTATGCATTTTCATCTTTGTTATAGTTCTGGTAAAATTCCCACCACCTTTGTTTTGATCCTACCCCCCCCCCCCCGTGTGTCTCTGGTTTATAGTTGTGTTGATTTTGATTTTTACTTTATTATAATTAGTCTTTTTCCAAGTCTTCTTTTTAATGTTGTTTTGAAAAAATAAAAAATTGAATTCTTGCCAAAAAAGAACTCAAAGTTAGAGAAACTGTTTGCAGTGAGTGATCCTTGGGGACTAAAGTTCAAGAAAACAAGTGGTTTAGGACAAAGGAGTCAGATTTTTCCTTGGATATTTTCAAATGCCAAGTTAAATAATATAGTCTCATTTAGTAGCTATACAACAATATGTACTGAAAACTCTATAAGGTGATTTTTTTTTAAAAAAAAGTAATTTTAAGAACATTTAAAAATCCTATATGGAAATAAAGACCAAGCAGACGAGGTTGTCAGGGGAGAGGCTGGGGAATGACTCCATAGGAGGTTTCTCTTGGCAGTCTCTCTTAAAACTTAATAATGGTGAGGGCTGCACAACTCTAAATATACTGAAACCACTGAACTGTAAAATAATAAAGAGTCTGCAAACACCATTTGCCATATGGCCTTAGTGTCTAGTGATAAAATGGGCGTAACAACACCTATTTCCATAAATGAAGATAACATTGAAAATTATGATACCTTTTTAAAAGGAGAATCCACTTAGAAAGTGAATCATTGTTTGAAATAAATTGCTGCTTTTTATCTTTTGTAAAATCCTAATATTCCAGCTCACATTTGCTTAAGGTGAGGCATCCCTGTGTTTTTAGTTCTTGAGTGAGGCCAGACGCTGTGCCCAGAGGGTCAGGACAGGAGGACGAGGTCCTCTGCCATCCTTATGTTTCACTGGGTTCTGAACAGCTCCTGTTCCAGGGCTGACTTCCTCATCATGTTCTTTCCTGGACAGGAATTAGGGCTTGATCACCCTGGGAGCTCTCTCCCAGCTAGCGGGCACCTAACTTTATGCATAAAAAGTTCACTATAGTTGTTCTTTCATTGATTTGGCCCCAACTTTTGGTAAAGAGGGAAATGGAAGAGAAAGCAGGGAACCTCAATGAGTCACTTTTGGGCTACGTCTGCTGCTTGGCCATAGTTTCCCACTGAATGCTCACAACATTACAAATATGTGTCTTCCGTTTTCTAGATGAGAAAAATTGGTCAACATATGTTTGAAAGGGTTGTTAAGATTGAAGACCTTCCTAATAGACACGATCCTAACTCCTGGCCCTCATGAAGTCTTTGCTTTATTTTTCCCTCTTAGCAGATACTTTGCTACATGTTTTTCAGGGACTGGTATATTTACTCTACAATAAACCAGTAAGATAGGCACTAATATTGTTCCCATTTTATAGATAAGAAAATAGACTTAGATAGGGAAATTAACTGTCACTGTTACACGGTAAATGACAGGGCTGGACCCTGCATGTCCCTGTGCACTTTTAACCACTGTTAAAAAAGAGCTCAGTGGTTCTCAACCCTGTGTCAACGTGCAAGAATTACCTGCACCTTTCTTACACATGCACCTCTCCCAACTCTTCCCCAGACTGCTCTTGTGGTTTTTAACTCCAGCTGCCCTTAGAATCAAGTGGAATTCTTTGGGAAATGCAGACTCCAAGACCCTGCCCCAAGCTCATCCAGTCAGAACTGGGAGGATGAGGCAGCCTGGCCAGAGCCTTGAAAAGCACCATACTAGGAACAATCTAGAGCTAAGTCCCTTGCTCCTGTAGCTCATATTTAGGCTAATGGCTTTAATTAGCTCCTTGATGAGGTAAATGTCTTCCCTGCTTATTTATGGATCCCTGCAGTGTTTAACCTGTCCCCTAACACATGAAGTGCTAAAAGAAATTGTCCAATTCTCTTTTTATACTTCTTCCAGTGATTGAACAGAGCCTGATGGAGGACATGCCAGAACTATGTTAAGTAACTAATTTTCACCGAGTGCTTCAAGGAGACTGTCTGAAGGAATTTTTCCTTCCTGTAAATATGTTCCTGACAGTCCTTTACCTTTACATAGATCACCAAAGAGCTTTGATTGAATTCCACCAGGATTTGCTGAGTGCAAATCCTGTGTTAATGTATTCCAAACCCTGTGTTAAGAGTAGTGGAAAGCAGTGGATGATAGCCACCCCACGAGACACTTCCAGACATTTCCCCTTCATCAGAGTAATTCTCACTCCTGGTCTTCCATAGTTAGTGAGAGTGAAATTTTAAAAGCTTGACATTCTTCTCTGAGGTATGTTGCTAAGTGTGTGTGATCCAATGACAACTTCATAAAGGACGATGAGGTATAGACATCTGCCCTCTGCCTGCTGTCCCGAACTTCCATGACAAGTCTTAGTGCCCTTCTTGTCATTTTTTTATGCCCTTTTTGACTTTTTGTCATTCACACCACAGGAAGCAACCAGGATGTGGGAACATTGTGACATTCGCCCAATTTTTATTTATTGCTGTGGAAGGCTTCCTCTTTGAAGTTGATTTGGGAAGGAAGCAGCCAGCTATCCCATTAAGGTAAGGCACGCTGAATTCTTTCAACTCTTGTTTGATTTGAAAAGTTAAGAGCTTTCCTGGTACCTGTATAAAAAGAACCTAAGATGTCCTTCCATAGGATTTATATCAAAGATCGGTAGAATAATAATTCATTTTCAAATTTAAAGTATTGTGAAACTCCAGGGGGCCTATTTTTGAATAGCATTTCTGCCACAAAACTTAAATAACCATAATGAAAACAGCAGTGTGTATGTGTGAGTATAGGCAGTGAAAGGTTTCGTATACCCACAATTTTTTCATAGGTAGGTATGCTGCCCTCTTGCTGGGAAGGCTCTCAAATATGTTATGAGTGGTATTGTTTCTTTTTAAAAACGAATGGCTTTTGGAAATAAGTAAATAAAGGTGATGGCAATAGAACATTGGCAGTATGCTGAATGCCACTGAATTGTTCACTTAAAAACTGTGAGGGTTTTTTTATTATCATTTTTTTAATATCTTTTACATCATTGTGTATTCCCCATAAAATTCCCACCACCACTTCACCCTTAAACCTTCACCATAGTCCCTTGTGCTCTTCTTTCCCCTGTTTTAATCCCTCCCTTGCAGAATATCTCTTATTAATGGTTGCCTGCTAGTTTTTTTTAATCATTATTATTGTTACTTTTTTCCCTGATCCTTTATTTGGTTCCCCTACATTCCTCCTATAAGTGAAACCATCCAATATTTTTCTTTTTCCTTCTGGCTTATTTCACTGAGCATGATTCCTTCAAGCTCTGTCCATGTTGCTGTGAATGACATGAGTTTATCTTTTTTGATTGCTGAATAGTATTCCAGTGTGTATATGTACCACATCTTCTTGATCCAGTCATCTATTTTGGGGCATTTGGATTGTTTCCATATCTTACCTGTGGTAAACAGTGATACAGTAAACATAGGGGTATAGTTATCTTTATGAAATGTTTTTGTGTCCTTTGAGTGGAATTGCTGGGTCATATGGTAGCTACATTTTTAGTAGTTTGAGGAACCTCCACATGGCTTTCCATACTGGTTGGACCAGTTTGCATTTCCACCAGCAGTATGTGAGTTTTTTGTTATGTGAGTTTTACCTCAATTAAAAGAAAAAGTTAGGTGAGTTTTACAACCTCAATTAAAAGAAAAAATGAATAACAAGCCAAGACAAAATTATTGTCCAGATCTTTGTCCATTGGTACATATTTGCATGGCTATACTCGTGGGGCCAGATGGAAAGCAGGGCTGTTCTTAAAATACACGATGTTTTGACAACTCAGCATTCTTTTTTTTTTTTTAAAGATTTGTTTATGTATTTATTTATACAAGAACTGGGGTACAGGCCAGATGCATGGGAGGGTGAGAGGATTCACCAGACAGGGTGGGGAACAGAACAGGCAGACTGAAATACACTGCTGAAGGGAGCAGCAGGTGAGACAGGAGAAGTCTGCTGCACCATGTGGGTATCTCCCTGTCCAGCAGGGATCAAACCCACACTGCAGAGGCTGTGGACAGCTTCACAGTGTGGTGCTCAATTGCCTGCGCCACCAGGGGAGGCCCACAACTCAGCATTCTTGCAGGAGAGACTTGAAGTAGAAGTGTGACTCTTCTGTTTGTGGGTAGTCTTAGGATGGGGGTCTCTTAACCCCTTAAAGGTACATTCCGATTGACTATCTGAAGACTCAAGTCAAGGCTAATCCATTTGTCTTTGTTGGTACTTCTACTCTTACCATAGTCTTGCCACAGAACTTTTGAATTATTAAGGGACAAAGTTACAGATGGTAGAAATACTGTAAAATATCTATGAGCTATTTTGTCATAAAATTATTTGAAAATAGATAGTTGTTACAATCAAACTCTTCCATTGCCTGACCAGCTATGTTACTTAGCATTCGTTACCATTTGTTTTTATTTTATGTACTTTTAAAATCATTTTTATTGAGGTAATACTGGTTTACAACACTGTATGTGACTTAGGGGTAGAGGTCCACACATCTTTAGATGTCCATTTTAACGCCACACCCACCACCGTCAAAATCCCCCTAATCCCCCACCCTAGTCCATCATTCCCTGCCCATCACTTTCACCTTCTGGTGAAGGTTAGATTCTAATCTAACTGCAGTTAAATTTCTAGGGTTTGTTGTGTTTTAGTTTTGTTTGTTCCTGTATTTTGTTTCTTTCTATTCCACATATTAGTGAAATCATCCAGCGTTCACCTTTCTCCTTCTGACTGACTTTTCTTGTTATAATCCCCTCCAGTTACATTATTATTGTCACAAATGGTGGAGTTTTAGCCTTTTTTTTAGTAGCTGAGTAGTATTCCGTTGTGTGTATGTACCACATTTTCTAAATCCACTCATCTGTTCTTGGGCACTTAGGTTGTTTTCATAACTTGACTTTTGTAAATAGGCTGCAATGAACAATGGAGTGTATAGTCCTTTTGATTTAGTGTTTTTCTAATCTTCAGGTAGATATGGAAAATCTGGCTAAAATTTGTTATTAGTATTATACATTTGGATTTCCAAATGTGATGCTAAATATTCTGAATTTTTTTTTGTTTGTTTTTCATTCTCTTTAGCATCTGCTCCCCAGAAACCAGCATTTACATCACAGAAGATGCTCGGGCAGTTTTTCACTCCTCTGACGCTTTCCTTCCTTCTTCCACTCTCTTCCCTTTCTCTCTTCTCCTGGCGTCTGTTTGCCCCTCTCACAAGCGTGTAGTCATCGTCGGGTCCCAAGAAGCCCAAACCCCAACCTGCCTTGTGAGAGTGAGACACCCTTGATCTGGCCCTATAGTCATGCCGCCCCCCCACCCCCATGTGTCCCGTTGTGCTGGCTCATGTGTTTCCTGTCTCTCAGGCCTTCATTAAAATCTTGCTCACGTCTCTCATCCCCACGAGTGACTTCTCAGCAGTGCTATGTAGACAGCAATGTGGAATGGCTGGAATTCATTATCCTGAAAGACCTTGATGAACCCTCCTTATCTCCAAATGGTGTCTTTTCAGGTTTTCAAGACAGGGCTAAGAAAATGTAGCAAGAAACCTTGCCAAGTCACCAAGCGGCTGTTCTCTGAAAGCTGTGAAATAGCTCTTGCTAGTGACTTTGCCCCTGTGTAGTACCGTGTTCTACATCGTAAAGCTTCTTAGACTTTCCAGACTGTTCACGTAGCACCCACATGGCTGCCTGGGAGGGCCTAGCGCTCCTTACATAAACAGCAGTGGAAAGGTGGTGCCTTGTCAGGGGAGGTGGCTTGAGACTCACCTTCCTCAGATCTGTGCAAATGGAAAAGGGCAGGAATCTGTGTTTAAGATCAAGAGCCCCAAAGACTGTGGCTCCACTGACTTACCTTTGCTCTTCATTCTTTAGTCATTTATTTCAAATGTTTATTTTCTTTTGACTAGGTTGTACCTTTCTTCTGTACTAGGTTAAATCATGTGAAATTGCTGATGTTTTTGCCCTACAGAAGAGATGGCAGTGTTATGTGGTCTAACCTGATGTGTGTGAAATGGATCTTAAATATTTTCTAGGTCAAAATGTAAACTTTTTAAATTTACTCAAATGATTTAATTTTTCATAATTATTTGTATTTATCCTTTCATCTTTCTAGGTTATTTGGGTTACTGATTTTTTTTATTTTACATTTTTATTATATTTTGAATACCTATAAACTCTCAAAAATTCTGGGGCCCTGTTTTAAATACAAATGTGTACAAGTAACATGATGTCCTCATTAGTTTAAGGCCACTGGTTCAGAATGGGGGATAATTTTAACAGTTGAAAAATCACATGATTTAACAAATCTTTTCTTTAGAAGTAGTGAAAATTAATAGTATAAATAAGTATAGAACCGTATGAGATAAATAACCATTTTCAAATTCTTTAACAAGATATGAAAACTATATACAAAGAACTTATATAATGATAAAAATTACCTATTCACTTTATACAACCTATTGAATTTTAGCAGGTAACATTTTTTTTGCACTCTGTTTTTAAGTTGCTTGGAAAAATACTAAAAGAATATGCTGGGAAAATGCCATGGTAGTGTTTCTTGAACTGTATTCTATAAGTCAATCTTTTTTCACATTAGTTTGACTTTATGAAGTATTTTTATATGCACTAGTATTTCACTTCACATTATAAGAGTAATATAGTCTCAGTACAGAGGAAATAAAATACTTGTAAACAAAAACCAGATATTTGCTGGTACACTTGACATCCTTCAAATAGCAGATTCTTTGTGACATGCGCTTTTCTCTGCATTTCAGGCACTACGCTAAAATGGTGGCCATGTTCTTCACCTCCAACTTGGTGAACAACTACGCGCTGAACCTCAACATCGCCATGCCCCTGCATATGATATTTAGATCTGTAAGTGCTGCCAGTTTACCTGTGTCGGTGCCTCTGAAAAATACACCTGCGTGGGTAGATTGAACACATGGGAACTAGAAACGTTTGTAATAAATGATGTCTAAGGGGTAAGAGTAGGTCTGGTGAATGAGGGAGCAGATGCTGGCTTCATCTGAGAATTAGGGCAAAAGGAGAAATGTTGGCATGGACGGCTTGTGTTTATCTGTCTGAGATCTTAGGGGTGATGAATAAAAGGAAAGTTAAAATTGCCCTGGAAGCAGATTTTACCTTCAGTTTCCTTCACTTGGTGACTTTTGGATTTAAATTTGTTATGAGTGCTATTTTACTTGTTTCTCTTCACTTCCTTTTTGCTTCTTCCATAAAGTTACTTTCACTTCTAGTACATGAGATAAATTCTTTTCTATTTATTTTTTAAATCAGAGACAAGATCATTAAGTATAGAGAAATTCTTGACGAAAAGAGGTTTCTCCCCAAGTGGTGGAGGATATCTTCTTCATCTCACATTTGGTGGGAGATCTCTGACTTGAATATAAAAATAAGGACAGTGTTCCCCCAAGAGCAGGAAAGACCATAAGGGGAATGTGTTTAGGGTTGCAGAAGCATGCAAAATGGAATTACAACACTTCTGTGTGGTCTGAGGTTTTTGTTAGATCGAAGGTTGAAAAATATCACAGCCACTATAATTTCAAATTTCAAAGCCACTATAAGGACTAATATGGCCCCTGAGATATTGACCACATAGTAGGCTTTCAATAAACACTTGCTATTATTTGTTGCCCTTCCAGAGAAGAGAGAGACCCCTACCTAGCCTCTCATTAACATTTAATAAGGAGAAGCTCATTCAAAACCCAGATAAGCTAGATAAATGGAGAATTTAACAAAAATTCATCTGTAATTTATTCTCTGAGCCCTGGCTTCAGCTGTGACTAATGATTGAGAATTGATAATTTTTATTCTCATTGTCCTCTTGAAAATGTTTTATTGTTTTACTTGATATTTATAATTTATACTTTTTTCCATTATAACAACACCTGAACTTTACAAATTATTCATCCTGGCTGCCTTTCCAGCAGTTTTAGCCCTGTCCACATTCATAAATTCCTTGAATTGCATTATTTTCTTTCTCTGGATTACTAAAACTCTGTTGTCTCCTTTTACAGGGTTCTTTAATTGCCAACATGATTCTAGGAATTATCATTTTGAAGAAAAGGTAAGCAATATACTTGTATTTTATGTGGTAGAAGCTTCCTGACCCACCATCCATAAGCCCATTTGGATTCCTTCTTTCATAGTGGCAATGAGTTTGCTCTTGATCATCTGCCTTATTTCTTCATATCTGTATGTCTTCATGTCTGAGACAGTTGACCAGATAAGAGACCCCACCTATGACAGAGCAGCATTCTCTCTGGGTACAACTAATTAGCTCTTGCCATAATTGAATCTTAAATACTATTTTAACCTATGAAACCAATGGCTCTAGAGCTTCAGTGACCCATTTGGACGATTCCTGCTAGCTCCTGTGACTAGTTGACATTTCAATTGAATTAATTTACGATGAAATGGAATTAAATATTTAGCTTCAGTTTCACTAGTCACTTTGTGATTGGTGGCCACAGGTGACGAATGGCAGCCATCCTGAGAGCTCAGGTAGAGTACATTTCCAACCCCACAGAAGTTTGTGGGACAGAGCCCTTAAGCAGGTGCCCCATCAATACAACATAATAAAGAACAGACAAATGAAAAAAAAAATAATTCCTAGCCTAGGCCCAGGGGCCAAAAAGATGGAATGAAATGTGTCAGAACTGTTGTGACTCTCACTGGTAGCTCTGTTTGGGATTAAGCATGAGAAATACCAGAAGTACCTGGGGTGCTTGTTCAAAGTATTTGTCACCCATGTTCATTTTGAGCCTAACCCCTCACTCTCCAGGAGCAGGGGTATTGGAAAGCGATAGCACAGTCGGGAATGTTTCTCAAAGGAAGTTCACCTTCACTGTTGAGACCAAAACCGTACCAGTTGATGCCATCTTCTTGACGTAGTCAGTATTCAGCCCCCGTATTAGAACTCTCTGTACCAGCCTGCATCGTAGTTATTCATTCAGAGTGTAGGAATGTAGACTTTCAAGGCTGTGTCTTACAAAGGCCTGCTGTCCTATCTCATTAGGCTCCTCATCATGAAGCTTTTATCTCCTTGTGCATTTTCAGACAAACACCACATTCTTTGTTGTGTTGAAAGTGATCCCCTAGTTATGAGGAGTATGGAATTCACCTTGAGCATACCTGTGGTTCTGCCAACCTTTGATTTAGTTTCATGGGATACAAAAGAACGTTCTTTAAAAGGAATATGTTCTCCTGGCACGGCCCTACAAAGTCAGGAGCCTTTGAGATGCCTCATTTTCTTGAGGAACTTGTTTTGGGTGTGTCATCTTGACTATCTGGGTGAGCCTTTTGACTCTTTTCTCTGTGTGTGTGTGTGTGTTTCCTGTATGTTTGCTATCTAATATGGTGAATTAGTAACTTATTATCTCCTTTTATTTACCTTGGATAGAAGCCTGTCATGTGTGTTCCTCATTCCAGGATTTGAAGATCAAATCTATGTTTACCTTAGCCATGTCCTTGAGTATTTCTTGGCCTGAATTACCATCCTCTCCATTTTGACCTTCCCAAACTGAAGAGTTCCCTTATTTTCATATGTCCACTCTCCCCACCTACCCCTTCTCTGGCATGGCACCATTAGCCCTCTAGTTCCTCCCCTCGGCCACTTAGCCAGTTCTTTTGGCCTAGCTTAGAGGCACTGTGACCAGAACTATACAAAGGATTTGATTAGAAAATCTCAGATGGGGCCTCCCTGGTGGCGTAAGGGTTTAAGACATAACCTATGAAGCTATCCGCAGCCTCTGCAGCATGAGTTCGATCCCCGGCCGGCCAGCAGACCTCTTTCGCAGCAGACCTCTCCTGTCTCTGGCGCAGCAGACCTCTCCTGTCTCGCCCACTGCTCCCCTCAGCAGTATATTTCAGTCAGTCTGCCTGTTCTGTTACCCGCTCTGTCTCTGGTGAATCCTCCCACCCCCCACACCTCTGGCCTGTATCCCAGTTCTTGTATCCATAAATAAATCTTTAAAAAAAGTAAAAAGAAAAGCTCAGATGATCCATCCTGTACGTTTAATTTCTCTTCTCTTGCCCGAAGCCTTTCGTTTCTTGCCCGAAGCCTTTCGTTTATTACCAAGAACCTGAGAGAAAAGCTAATGACACTATTTTAGTTAATGTGAAATGTCACTATTACTACTGCTAATAGTTCTATTTAGTCTAATATTCCTGCCTTTATCCAACTCTGCCAACATTTAAAAACATTTAAGTCATTCAGAGACTAAACAAAAAATCCCTCCTTGAAAATAGACAATGGGATTATTTTCTTGCGTTCTTCCTCTGGGTGGAGTGTGTCTTCACACTCAAGTCTGGGCGCCCCAAAACACAAAAAGCAGCACATGCCAGTTAAGGTCTTTCATTTGGACTCTTGAGAGCAGGATGGAATGTCATCTGGCCTGTCTTTTGGGGGGGTTTGTTTCTTGATGAAATAGTCTGCTGGTGGACAAACTATTTTAAGCAATGTTCCGAATCCATCAGCATCCTGATCCTTTTATGCACAGAATTTAGTGAACAGTGCTGGGGATGAGCAGAGCCTCTCAATCATATTCATACTCGCCTGCACAATATGACTGTAAGCATCATGTGTGCTTTTCTAAGGTGTTCTTGTT